TGAGTGGTGATTTAGGCATGCAGCTAGCATCATGCTAACCAAGCTAAGATCACTGTGTGTGAATGGTGTCTGTTCTGTAGGGGACTGTTTATCTCCATTATGGACCGAGGACACATTCGCTCCATCCTGGACAACTGGCCAGAAACTAATGTGAAGGTACAGACATACATATATATTCATATAGCTGAAAAATAATGAACAAGAATTTATACGTGTGTATATATATATACATATATATATATATATATATATATATATATACATATATAAGAGCGCTGTCACCTCAAAGCAAGAACGGCCTGGGTTAGATTCCTGGCCGGGCGACTAGGGTCGTTTCTGTGTGGAGTTTGCCTGTTCTCCCCGTGTCTGCGTGGGGCTACTCCGGGTTCTCCGGTTTCCTCCCACAGTCCAAAGACATGCTAAGTTTGCCCCTAGGTGTGAATGTGTATGTCTGTCTGTCTGCCCTGCGATGGACTGGCGACCTATCCAGGGTGTATCCTGCCTTCCGCCCAATGACAGCTGGGATAGGCTCCAGCACCCCACCGCGACCCAGAAGGATAAGCGGTTTAGATGATGTATGTATGTATGTATATATATAAGGTTCACAGAAGGTCAGCAATAATGCAGATAGATTCTGGCATTTAAACAATGCTTGATTAGCAATTCGGGGCAAGAAGACATTCTAACAACACTACATACAAAGGTCTGTCAAACTTCACTGTCACAGAGGAGAGTCCCCAACTCTCGGCCCGGTCAGACTCCGCTGTCACAGCGCAGAGTCCCCGACTCGCGGCCCGGTCAGAGCCCCCGACTTGCGGCCCAATCAAACTCTGCTGTCAAAGCGCAGAGTCCCCGACTCGCGGCCCAGTCAGACTCCACTGTCACAGCGCAGAGCCCCCGACTCGCAGCCCAGTCAGACTCCACTGTCACAGCGCAGAGCCCCTGACTCGCGGCCCAGTCAGACTCCACTGTCAAAGCGCAGAGTCCCCGACTCGCGGCCCAGTCAGACTCCACTGTCACAGCGCAGAGTCCCCGACTCGCGGCCCAGTCAGACTCCACTGTCACAGCGCAGAGCCCCCGACTCGCAGCCCAGTCAGACTCCACTGTCACAGCGCAGAGCCCCCGACTCGCGGCCCAGTCAGACTCCACTGTCACAGCGCAGAGCCCCTGACTCGCGGCCCAGTCAGACTCCACTGTCACAGCGCAGAGCCCCCGACTCGCAGCCCAGTCAGACTCCACTGTCAAAATAAAAGAGTTGTCTTCCTGTCGGCTCGACTGGAAGGGATGGGTTTAGAGACACATTCTGATGTTTGCTGTAAACATTAAAGAAGCTCTTGGCTTGTGTTTGCATAATTTTATGCATTGTGCTTCTGTCACGATTGGCTGATTGGATAATCACACAATTGCATGACTGCTAAGGTGTAGAAACAGAAATGAGACATGAAGTCTGACTTCCTGTCCTGACAATGTGTGTCTGTGTCTCTGCAGGCAGTGGTGGTGACGGACGGTGAGCGGATTCTGGGTCTGGGAGATCTGGGGGTTTATGGGATGGGAATTCCGGTTGGAAAACTCTGTCTCTATACGGCCTGTGCTGGCATCCGGCCAGAAAGTTGTTTACCTGTGTGTATCGACGTTGGAACAGATAACCAGGTTAGAACACAGAGACACACAGACTATCCTACTGCACTGTAACATAGAATTTTTAGACATTATTCATTTTTAGGCTCCTATTAAACATTATTAATGTATTATTGTCTGTGTTTTACTCAGACGTTACTCAGAGACCCGTTCTATATGGGTCTGTATCAGCGGCGGGACCGCTCCCATCGCTATGACGAACTCATAGATGAGTTTATGGAGGCGGTCGTGGATAAATACGGACAAGACACGCTCATCCAGTTTGAAGATTTCGGAAATCACAACGCCTTCCGCTTCCTGAAGAAATACCGCTACAAGTACTGCACCTTTAACGATGATATACAGGGTGAGAACTGCACACTGTTATGATTCACTGCTTCCCTCAGATCATGGAAAAGTGCTTCTCCTGGTGCTGCTGGATTTAAGTGAAGCTCACAGATACAATTGACAATGACATTTTAATGAACAGGCTTGTTCAGATCTTATTTGACAGACTGCCTCTGATTTGTCAGTGTAAATGGGGAATTTTCTGTATATAGAAGAGTGAAGTATGGTGTGCCACATGGCTCTGTTTTAGGCCACCTGCTCTTTTTCCTTTATTTACATCTTTTAGTCCATGTTTATGGACACTAGTGTGTCATACAGTGTCAGTAACCACGTAATCAAGACTACTTAACCTGTTTTGAAGCATAAAGCAGTAGCTGGTTCCAGAATGTAACCACTGTACCATTTAAGATGGAACCCAAAATTCAAAAAAGAAGTCAACTTCACTCTGTTTGAGGCAAGTGTGTGAGGATTTAGGTATGCATTTAGCATCATGGTAATTAGTGGGGTATATGCTTCTATTGCTTGTTAGCTACATTAGCCTTGTAGCTCCAGTTCTAAAACTAAAGAACCAAACTTCAGACACCAAACACATCTTGGCTAAGTAAGAGGGTGAAATTAGATTTTTTGTCTCGCTTTAATATGTGTGTCTGTAGGTACTGCGTCAGTAGCCCTGGCTGGTTTGTTGGCGGCACAGCGTGTGGTGGGGAAACCAATCACTGAACACACTGTGCTGTTTCTGGGAGCAGGAGAGGTACATGCATTCTGTTACATCCTAAACATGTTACTGATCATGGAACAAACTCTGATGTTCCTGCTAATCACACTGTTTATAGATGATAATTCATTCCAAATGGAAAAACTTTCATCACATAATGGATTCAGCTCGTGCCAGTCAGAATCATATTCCCAGATTAACAATGCTAATAACCATATTCATTGGTTATCAATGCTAATAGACGTTAGCCTTATTCCCAATTAGTGAAGGTAACAAATATAAGCCATATTCCCAGGTTAGCGCTGCTAACAAACTTTAGCCATATTCCCAAATTAGTGATGCTAACTGACATTAGCCATATTCCCTGAGTCTGAAGCATGCAGGGGAGAATTGTGTGTGAGTATTGATTATCTGTTAGTGATGGAAGTGGCTGAACTCCCTGATTAGACGGGGTGTCTTAGCGTAGTGAATGAAAGTGGAAGCTAGCCACGATTAAACTTCGATTAAGCTCTGATTAAACGCTGATTAAATGCTGGCACGTTGCTGTAGGCGGCTCTGGGCATCGCGAACCTGATCGTCATGGCAATGATGGAGGAGGGCATGTCTCAGGCTGAAGCTCGGAAGAGGATCTGGATGTTCGATAAATACGGTCTGCTCGTCCAGGTGAGACTGTGTTCTACAGGTGTGAACATCACACAGGAACTGACGGCAGACTTCCTCATTAATGCAGGCTGTGTGTGTGCGTGTGTGTGTGTAGGACAGAGAGGAGGCCACGGACACTAATCAGGAGGCGTTTGTCCACCCCAGTCCAGGTGAAGGTGTGAGAAGTTTCCTGGACGCTGTTAATGTTCTGAAGCCCACAGCCATCATCGGTGAGTCACTCCAGCAACTGTGGAAGAAAAAACAGACAAAACTTCAGCTGAAATGAACAGAGGACTTTAAGAGACATAAACAGAGCAGTTCAGATGTCTTTACAGTGGTTGTGATAGGAACCAGGGGTCACCATGACTACAACACAAATACAGACATTTTTGGGGACTATTTTGCCTCACAGTGCCCTGCATGTATCCCTCCACTATGAATGGAGTTTAAGTTCTCAAAACTACCATAAAACAGCGTCTCAGTCATCAGGCAGTGAATTCATAACCATTTCATGTAGGAACTTTCTGTGAGGGAGCTTTTAGAGGTGGACGTCTGGTTCCTATCACCACCACTGTGAACAGTTCTGACTCGGTAAGTTTATCTAGAACAGAGCGTTTCACACCAAACCACTCTGAACCTCTCTGTTAACCACTTAATTACTCAGCAGTGTGCTCACATGCTCTCATGTTTTAGAGTAAAGTATAACACATTGTTGCAGTTGTACTCAGGTGTGTGGAACTGTTACCTGTTGCAGGTGTGGCTGGGGCTGGGCGGCTCTTCACTCATGATGTCATTAAAACGATGGGCTCTCTGAATGAGCGGCCGATCATCTTTGCCCTCAGTAACCCCACTGCTAAAGCTGAGTGCACTGCAGAGGACGCATATAGCCTCACACAGGTACATACACAGGTACACACACCTGTGCACAAACAGCTGGACGTTCATGCACTCACATAGCTTTGTTTGTGTATCTCAGGGTCGGTGTTTATTTGCCAGTGGGAGTCCGTTTGGCCCCGTTACTCTGGAGGACGGCAGCATCCTGACCCCCGGCCAAGGCAACAACGCCTACATATTCCCAGGTTAGTGACGCTAAAGGAAAGTAGCCATGTTACCAAGTTAGCAGAGCTAAAGGAAAGTAGCTGTGTTCCCAGGTTAGCAGAGCTAAAGGAAAATGCAATATATTACCCATAAAAGAAAATGGAACATGTTCCCTGGTTATTGATGTCAAAGAACATTATCATTTGACATTTTCCCAGGTTAGCAGTGCTAATGAACTGATTCTGAAGCACGTGGTGGAGAACTTGGAGAGTAGCGGTTTATCCGGTGCTGGTTTATCCAGAGCTGGTTTATCCAGAGCTGGTTTATCCAGAGCTGGCTTATCCGGTGCTGGTTTATCCGGTGCTGTTTTATCTGCTGCTGGTTTATCCGGTGTTGATGTAACAGGTGTTTATCTCCAGGTGTGGCTCTGGCTGTGATACTCAGTGGAGTTCGACACATCAGTGATACGGTGTTCCTCGAAGCTGCCAAGGTAAACACATTTTCAGAAGTTCACACAGTGACTTCACTGTTAACAGGAAATTTGTTTCACAGCAGAACCCGACAGCAGCATTTAGCCCACCCGTTCCTGTGCGCTGATCTCATCACTCTCCTGCAGCAGCAGCAGGATTTCTATGACTGTAGTTCAGTTAAACAACAACTGAGGGATACTGACGGTAACTGAGGGCTAACTGAGGAATACCGAGGCTAACTGAGGGATACCGAGGGTAACTAAGCAATACTGACGGTAACTGAGGGCTAACTGAGAGATACAGAGGGATACTGAGATACAGAGGGATATGGAGGGATACTGAGTGGTAACTGAGGGATACTGAAGGTAACTGAAGGACACTGAGCGATACTGAGATACGGAGGGATATGGAGGGATACTGAGTGGTAACTGAGGGATACTGAAGGTAACTGAAGGACACTGAGTGATACTGAGATACGGAGGGATATGGAGGGATACTGAGTGGTAACTGAGGGATACTGAAGGTAACTGAAGGACACTGAGTGATACTGAGATACGGAGGGATACTGAGTGGTAACTGATTAATAACAGGGATACCGAGGGTAACTCGGGATACTGAGGGATACTGTGATACAGAGGAATATGAAGGGACACTGAGTGGTAACTGAGGGTAACCAAAGGATACCGAGTGATGCTGAGGGATACTGAGATACGGAGGGATGCTGAGTGGTAACTGAGGGATACTGACAGTAACTGAAGGATACTCAGGGATACTTAGATATGGAGGGATACTGAGTGATAAACAAGTGGTAACTGAGTGGTAGCTGAGTGATACTGAGGGATACTGAGATACGGAGGGATTCTGAGTGGGAACTGAGGGATACTGAGGGATACTGACGGTAACTGAAGGATACTGAGTGATACTGAGATATGGAGGGATACCGAGCGGTAACTGTGTGGTAACTGAGTGGTAAGTGAGGGATACCAATGGTAACTGAGGGATACTGAGGGTAACTGAGGGCTAACTGAGGGCTACCAAGGGTAACTGATGGATACCGAGATATGGAGGGATATGGAGGAATATAGAAGGATACTGCGTGGTAACTGAGGGACACCAGGGATAACTGGGGAGACTTAGGGATACTGAGATACAGAGGGATAGTGAGTGGTAACTGAGTGGTAACTGAGTGGTAACTGAGGGATACCGAGGGTAACTGGTGAGTATGTTTATAAATAATAATGTATGTGTGTGTGTGTGTGTGTGTGTGTGTGTTAGACTCTGGCGGCTCAGCTGGGTGAAGAGGAGCTCTCTCAGGGCCGACTGTATCCCCCCCTCTCCAACATCAGAGAGGTGTCTCTGCAGATGGCCGTCAAGGTGAGCACTCCGGGAGAGAGAGGGTGTGTGTGTGTTCAATGTGTGTGTGTTTAATCTGTGTGTGTAGGTGGTGGAGTACCTGTATATGAAGGGAGTGGTGTGTTAACGTGTGTGTGTTTAATGTGTGTGTATTTAATCTATGTGTGTCTAGGTGGTGGAGTACCTGTATACGAAGGGAATGGCGTTCCGGTATCCAGAACCGGTGGATAAAGAAGCGTACGTCAGGTCCGTCGTCTGGAACACCAACTACGATTCATTCCTGCCTGATATCTACGACTGGCCTGGAGTCTCACACAGCCCTATAGTAGACTAGGAGTAGTCCTAAAGCTTACACCCTGTATCCTAAACCCTACACCCCGTAAACTAAACCCTACACCCCGTACCTTAAACCCTACATCCCATACCCTAAACCCTACATCCCGTACCCTAAACCCTACACCCGTACCCTATACCGTACACCCCGTACCCTAAACCCTACACTCAGTACCATAAACCCTACACCCCGTACCCTAAACCCTACACCCTGTACCTTAAACCCTACATCCCGTACCTTAAACCCTACATCCCATACCCTAAACCCTACATCCCGTACCCTAAACCCTACATCCCGTACCCTAAACCCTACACCCGTACCCTAAACCCTACACCCGTACCCTAAACCCTACACCCGTACCCTATACCGTACACCCCGTACCCTAAACTCTACACTCAGTACCTTAAACCCTACATCCCGTACCTTAAACCCTACACCCCGTACCTTAAACCCTACATCCCGTACCTTAAACCCTACATCCCGTACCCTAAACCCTACACCCTGTACCTTAAACCCTACATCCCGTACCTTAAACCCTACATCCCATACCCTAAACCCTACACCCGTACCCTATACCCTACACCCCGTACCCTAAACCCTACACTTCGTACCCTAAACCCTACATCCTGTACCCTAAACCCCACACCCATCCCTATAATGGACTAGAAGTAGTCCTAAAGCTTACACCCCGTGTCCTAAACCCTACACCCCGTACCCTAAACCCTACACCCGTAAAGCCAAACCCTAACCCAGAAGTCTGTGACTGGCCTGGGCTCTCATACACTCCTGTAGTGGACTAGACTTAGTCCTACATGCTACTCCCTTAAACCCTACACACTCCTATAATGTTCTAAACCCTACACCACATACCTAAACCCTAACCCACAAGTCTGTGACTGGTCTGGGCTCTCATACATTCCTGTAGTGGACTAGAATTAGTTCTACACCCTACCTGTAGACCATAAGCCAGAAATCCTGGCCTGGAGTCTCACACACTCCTGTAGTGGACTAGCCCTAATCCCTACACCCTGAACCCTACATTGTGTGACCTACACACTAAACCCTGACCCATAAATCTGCGTTGGAAACCGATACCCTGTACCTTAATCTCTAATCCCTAAACCCTAACCCAGAAGACTGTGACTGGCCCAGAGTCTCACAGAACCTCCACAGTGGACTAGACTTAGTCCTAAACCCTCAGCCTCAGCTCTGAGTCTAGTCCTGTTCTCAGCTTTAGCTTTCACTCCAGACCTTCTGCAGATCAAAAGAATAAGAGAACAAGTTTATCTTCTGTTTATTCAGAGAGCTTTTATTTTGTAGAGTTGATGTTATTCCATTTATTTTTCAGTGATGGAGTGAATTCAGTTAAACTGTGTTTTATTTTATAGTTTAATCATTTTTGATATTGTTAGATTTATTTCCCGTTGATGGAGTGTGTGGAGTAAAACCGTGTGCCTTGCCTTCTCGCTCGTCAACACACACACATACACACAAACACACACCTCACACACACACACACACACACACACACACACACACACACACACACACACACACATTTAAGTCCAAGCTGCTCAAGTTCATAAACATCCATAAATGAAGGGACGTCCTGGACAGATTCACGAACAGTGTATCATCCCCAAAACAGAAACCCTGCTTAGAACCCACTGGTACTCATCTGTGGGTGCTGGGAGAACTGGGAGAGGTCGGAGCTCTTAAGAAATCCAGACTTTCCAGGTTGAGAGCTGCTCATCTAGATTTTTCCCACCTGGAAATCAGGAACTTACCATTTCAATGTGATCATAAAGGCAGCATTAGTGTATCTGAGCAACACTGGAGTAGATCAGTGCTCCCTCTAGTGGCGGTAGGAGGTAGAGCAGTAGAACAGCAAATATATACATTTACCCAAATTAATGTAACTCTCATAATATGAGCATTCTAACAGTGCTGGAATAGATCGGTGCTCCCTCTAGTGGCTGTAGGACGTAGAACAGCAGCGTCAAAATACATATATATGTGTATATATATATATTTAACCAAATGAATGTAATGCTATTTGTGTCAATATTAAGAGTGACACTGAACAGTGTTTACATAGAGCTTCAAAAGTATTTAGACACGTAGCAGGAGGAGGAGCGCAGTGTTTAAAGCAGCAGACTCTTCAGTGACGCACAGTGTTTGTAGCGCGCTCCCACGTTCCTGACCGCTGAGGGTCAGTTCATAAGCACAGCTGAGCATAGCGGCACCGATCCAGTGAAGCTCCTGCAACTGTTCCCCTGTTACTGCTCTGTGATGTGAGCTGAGTACCTCGTTAACTGTATCGGCTTTCTCTCATAGGCTGTTTAAACCACTGAGTCTGTGTGTTATTTACACTATAAACCACTCGTATTCAGGACTAGGCCCCTGACCACTGCAGCCCTCTCTCTCTCTCTCTCTCTCTCTCTCTCTCTCTCTCTCCTCTCTCAGTGCTCCCCTCACTGTGTTTACAGAGCCGTGATTTACACTTTTACTGTGTGTTTGCAGTGTTTCAGCTGAATAAACACTTTAGTCTCTCAGTCCGACTCTTCCTGTGTGACTCTCTGGTTCTTTTACAGTGTGATTATTTTAGCTACCTAGTGTCTGTAGCTTTACATTAGCTGCTAGCTAGTGTGCAAGTGCACAATACACCACAAGCTAATGTGCCAGTTTACTAGTGTGCAGTGTGCCAGCTAGTGTATTGATATACATTTGAACAGAACTACTTGCAAAAGTACGAGAGCACAGTGCACCACCAGCTAGGGTACTAGTGTACTAGAGCATTGTGCCTCACTGAGTAGGGTACTACTATATTAGAACACACTGCACCACTAGCTAGTGTATCAGTATGCCACTAGGTAGGTTAGCAGTAGACAATGTACCCCTATGTACTAGTGTACAGTGCACTGTAGTCCTCAGCATCTCAATGGCTACAAATGTTCAGTACACCACTACCTAGTGTGTTAGTCCGCTAGTGTATAACGTACAGTATGCCACTGGCTTAGTGCACTACAACACTAGTGCACGGTACACCACTAGCTAGCATAGCGTGTGCTAAAGGGAACCCAAAACTGTGAATGTCTGTAACTGTGATGAACAGATCATCGCTGTATCTCCTGTGTGTCTCTGTTCACAGTTACGGCTCAGAAAGATATTATCCTGGCGTAACTGTGCAAAGTGACCGGACGGTGTGACAGAAGGTCCAGATTTCAGTGATTTTTGAACAGTAATTAGGAGCTCTGTGTTACTGTGTGTGTGTGTGTGTGTTACTGTGTGTGTGTGTGTGTGAGTGTGATTGTGTGTGTTAGTGTGCGTTACTGTGTGTGTGAGTGTGATTCTGTGTGTTGTGTGTGTGTGTGTGTGTGTGTGTGTGTGTGTTAGTGTGATGGCGCTGCTGAGCTCTTTCCCTTTAAATGCCAGGCGGTTCAGGCGTGACTAATCGAGCGGCGGTGAGCAGGCGGTGTAGCTGAGTGAGCTCCGGGTTTGTGTCTGTGTCCGGAGCACATGGAGGTGACGGTGTGTGTGTGTGTGTGTGTGTGTGTGTGAGTGAGTTAGTGTTAGTGTGTCTGTGTTACTGTGTGTGTGTGTGTGTGTGTGTGTGTGTGTGTGATTGTGTGTGTGTGTTACTGTTTGTGTGTGAGTGTGTGATTGTGTGTGTTAGTGTGTCACTGTGTGTGTGTGTTACTGTGTGTGAGTGTGTGATTGTGTGTGTAGTGTGTGTTACTGTGTGTGAGTGTGTGTGTGTGAGTGTTACTGTGTGTGTGTGATTGTGTGTGTTAGTGTGTCACTGTGTGTGTGTGTGTGTTACTGTGTGTGAGTGTGTGATTGTGTGTGTTAGTGTGTCACTGTGTGTGTGTGATTGTGTGTGTTAGTGTGTGTTACTGTGTGTGAGTGTGTGTGTGATTGTGTGTGTTAGTGTGTCACTGTGTGTGTGTGTGTGTTACTGTGTGTGAGTGTGTGATTGTGTGTGTTAGTGTGTCACTGTGTGTGTGTGTGAGTGTGTGTGTGTGTGTGTGTGTGTGTGTGTGTGTGAGTGTGAGTGTGTGTGTGTGTGTGTGTGTGTGTGTGTGTGTGAGTGTGAGTGTGTGTGTGTGAGTGTGTGATGGCGCTGCTGAGCTCTTTCCCTTTAAATGTCAGGCGGTTTAGGCGTGACTAATCGAGCGGCGGTGAGCAGGCGGTGTAGCAGAGTGAGCTCCGGGTTTGTGTCTGTGTCCGGAGCGCATGGAGGTGACGGTGCTGGGCAGCGGCTCGGCTTTTCCCGGGCCGCTACGCGGGTGCTCGGCTGTAGCGCTGCGGCTGCCGCGGGGACAGTGCTGGCTGTTCGACTGCGGAGAGGGAACTCAGACCCAGCTGATGAGGAGCAGCGTCCGAGCAGGTCAGACACGCGGAGCCCTCCGCTCTCTCTGGAGCTTCCGCTCCACCTTAAATACAGCAGCAGCTGTTCTGGCGGATTACAGTTTATAGGGTTTATTACTGTTCATTAAGGTCTATTACTGTACACTCCGCTTTATTACTGTTCATTAAGGTCTATTACTGTACAGTCCGCTTTATTACTGTTCATTAAGGTCTATTACTGTACACTCCGCTTTATTACTGTTCATTAAGGTCTATTATTGTACACTCCGCTTTATTACTGTTCATTAAGGTCTATTACTGTACACTCCGCTTTATTATTGTTCATTAAGGTCTATTACTGTACAGTCCGCTTTATTACTGTTCATTAAGGTCTATTACTGTACACTCCGCTTTATTACTGTGCACTCAGCCTTATTACTGTTCATTAAGGTCTATTACTGTACACTCCGCTTTATTACTGTTCATTAAGGTCTATTACTGTTCATTAAGGTCTATTACTGTTCATTAAGGGTACAGTCCGCTTTATTACTGTTCATTAAGGTCTATTACTGTACAGTCCGCTTTATTACTGTTCATTAAGGTCTATTACTGTACACTCCGCTTTATTACTGTGCACTCAGCCTTATTACTGTTCATTAAGGTCTATTACTGTACAGTCCGCTTTATTACTGTTCATTAAGGTCTATTACTGTACAGTCCGCTTTATTACTGTTCATTAAGGTCTATTAATGTACACTCCGCTTTATTAGTGTTTATTAAGGTCTATTACTGTACACTCCGCTTTATTAGTGTTCATTAAGGTCTATAACTGTACACTCCGCTTTATTAGTGTTCATTAAGGTCTATAACTGTACACTCTGCTTTATTATTGTTCATTAAGGTGTATAACTGTACACTCCGCTTTATTACTGTTCATTAAGGTCTATTACTGGACACTCCGCTTTATTACTGTTCATTAAAGTCTATTACTGTACACTCCGCTTTATTAGTGTTCATTAAGGTCTATTACTGTACGGTCCGCTTTATTACTGTTCATTAAGGTCTATTACTGTACACTCCGCTTTATTACTGTTCACTAAGGTCTATTAATGTACACTCCGCTTTATTACTGTTCATTAAGGTCTATTACTGTACACTCCGCTTTATTAGTGTTTATTAAGGTCTATTACTGTACACTCCGCTTTATTAGTGTTTATTAAGGTCTATTACTGTACACTCCGCTTTATTAGTGTTCATTAAGGTCTATAACTGTACACTCCGCTTTATTAGTGTTCATTAAGGTCTATAACTGTACACTCTGCTTTATTATTGTTCATTAAGGTGTATAACTGTACACTCCGCTTTATTACTGTTCATTAAGGTCTATTACTGGACACTCCGCTTTATTACTGTTCATTAAAGTCTATTACTGTACACTCCGCTTTATTAGTGTTCATTAAGGTCTATTACTGTACGGTCCGCTTTATTACTGTTCATTAAGGTCTATTACTGTACACTCCGCTTTATTACTGTTCACTAAGGTCTATTAATGTACACTCCGCTTTATTACTGTTCATTAAGGTCTATTACTGTACACTCCGCTTTATTAGTGTTTATTAAGGTCTATTACTGTACACTCCGCTTTATTAGTGTTCATTAAGGTCTATTACTGTACGGTCCGCTTTATTACTGTTCATTAAGGTCTATTACTGTACACTCCGCTTTATTACTGTATACTCTGCTTTATTACTGTTCATTAAGGTCTATTACTGTACACTCCACTTTATTAATGTTCATTAAGGTCTATTACTGTACGGTCCGCTTTATTCTGAGACCTGTTTTAGTTCCGGTTTAAACTGCCCCCTCACCCTGAGGGGAACCCCCGAGTACACCTTAAGAGCCCCTCCCTTACTGAGAATGTGCAGTGAGGAGAGCTGACAGAGCCGGTTTAAGGTAGTCTGTCTACTTCCTGTTTCTGCTACTGAGAGCTGATTGGTTGGCACATAGATCTACATACCCGGATGCCACGTTGTCTGTTGTTCTGGATGTGAGGTGATACGTCTGCGCGTCTGCCATGTTGCTGCGGTCAAGATCCGCTTGTGAACGAATTCACTTGTTATTTGCCAGCTTCGAACAAGAAGCTGGCCAATAAGAACCTAACTTAAGGTTCGTATAATAAGGTGCTAATCTATTATGAATATCTACACGGATTAAGGATTGGAAGGACTATTAAATGAAATAAGCTCAATATAAAACCAGAGGAAAAACAATTAAATCAACAGGTTCTCTGAGCTTCATTAACCACACGGCCACATCTACACAAACACCACACAGACAATACGCATCACACAGACGTGAGTGTGGATCGCTGCGTTCCCTCCGTTATCCTATCCCTCCTTCTGAGAGCAGTATTCCTGAAATAGTGTAATTCTGGACAGTATCTTTATTAAACTGCCGCTCTGCAATGGTACTGAATGCAGTCCAGCAGCGATGCTGACCGCCCTAAAATGGCAGCGCTGTTGATGCGCCTGGCTGGACCCAACGCCGCATCTAGGTATGCATATCTATGGGTTAACATTACTGCTACTGAGTGCTGATTGGTTAGCATTACTGCTACTGAGAGCTGATTGGTTGGCATTACTGCTACTGAGAGCTGATTGGTTGGCATTACTGCTACTGAGAGCTGATTGGTTGGCATTACTGCTACTGAGAGCTGATTGGTTAGCATTACTGCTACTGAGCGCTGATTGGTTAGCATTACTGCTACTGAGCGCTCATTGGTTGGGATTATTTCTACTGAGTGCTGATTGGTTGGCATCGCTGCTGTTGAGTGCTGATGTGTGAAGCAACCTCGTCTAGTTTTATCGTCTGACTCAGATTTGCTTTAGATGGTCTTTAAGTGCCTCAGATCAATGTTTGAGTGTGAGGTTCAGTTCTGTCCTCGAGGTTTAATGTAAAAATGTGTTCTCTCTTCAGGTAAAATCTCAAAAATCTTCATATCCCATCTCCATGGCGACCACGTGTACGGCCTGCCGGGGCTGCTGTGCACGCTTAGTCTGAACTGTAGCGCCCCTCCAGGCCAGCAGGGGGAGTGTGTGGAGATATTTGGACCGGTGGGTTTGAGGCTGTTTCTGCGCGTCGCTCTGCGCGTCTCCAGCTCTGAGCTAATGTTTCCCTTCACCGTTCACGAGCTGGAGCCCACCGGAGACCAAAGCCCTCCCTCCGGCCTACTGGACCCTGAGCTGACCTCCTGCTGCCCGCATCTCCACCCGCAGGAGCAGCCTGGCAGGACGGTGCGGCTGAACGTGGAGTCGGACTGTTACACGCTGATCGAGGACGAGCAGGTCATGGTGAAGGCCTTCAGGCTCTACCACAGGGTTCCTTCTTTTGGGTTCTCCATTCAGGAGAGAGACCAGCCCGGACGCCTCAAAGTGGAGCTGCTCAAAGAGATGGGTGAGTAGATAAAATCAGCCTCCAGCAGTTTAGCTCCACCCATTCAGCCTACAGCAGTTTAGCTCCACCCATACGACCTCCAGCAGTTTAGCTCCACCCATTCAGCCTACAGCAGTTTAGCTCCACCCATTCGACCTCCAGCAGTTTAGCTCCACCCATTCAGCCTACAGCAGTTTAGCCCCACCCATTCAGCCTCCAGCAGTTTAGCGCCGCCCATTCAGCCTCCAGCAGTTTAGCGCCGCCCATCGCTCCAGCAGTTAGCGCCCATTCAGCTCAGCGTTTAGCCCCACCCATCAGCTCAGCAGTTTAGCCCCACCCATTCAGCCTCCAGCAGTTTAGCGCCGCCCATTCAGCCTCCAGCAGTTAAGCGCCGCCCATTCAGCCTCCAGCAGTTTAGCCCCACCCATTCAGCTACAGCAGTTTAGCCCCACCCATTCAGCTACAGCAGTGTAGTCCTGCTAATTGCTTATTATTTGCTCTGCAGGACTGAAACCTGGTCCACTGTTCGGTCGTCTGAAGAACGGAGAGTCAGTGACGCTGGAAGACGGTCGTGTTCTTGGGCCGAGCAAGGTTCTGGAGCCGGCAATCCGCGGACGAAAGGTGTGCGTGTTGGGGGACTGCAGTGGGGTGGTCGGGGAGGGGGTCCGCAGGGCGTGCGAGGGGGCGGACGTGCTGGTTCACGAGGCCACGCTGGAGGATGGGTTACAGGAGAAAGCTGTGCAACATGGACACAGCACTCCCAGCATGGCGGCCGCAGTGGCGCGGGACTGTGGAGCTCACACTCTCCTGCTCACACATTTCAGCCAGCGCTACAAACCTGCTGGGGGTCCTGGGGGTCCGGGAGAGACTGGGGACGACGTCCTTGAGCTGAAGAGACAGGCTGAACTCATCCTGCAAGGAACAAACACACGCGTCATACTCGCTGAGGACTTTCTCACTTTACCTGTTCCTCTCAGAAAACACCTGACCGAGCCTGACAGCACCTGAACGAGCCTGACAGCACCTGAACAAGCCTGACAGCACCTGAACGAACCTGACAGCACCTGAACGAGGCTGACAGCACCTGAACGAGCCTGACAGCACTGACCGAGCCTGACAGCACCTGACAGAGCCTGACAGCACCTGAACGAACCTGACAGCACCTGACCGAGCCTGACAGCACCTGAACGAACCTGACAGCACCTGACCGAGCCTGACAGCACCTGAACGAACCTGACTGAATCGTGCTCGCTCAGGACTTCCTCTCTTTGCCTGTTCCTCTGAGAGAGCAGGCTGATGCAGCTCTCACTGTGATGTGAAAACAAAATAAAATATCTCTATTTTTGCTGTTTTTTATTTTTCTGAAACATTTGAGCAAAGCGGCCGTTTTTATAGTGTGATATGGGCCCTTTAAAGCTCGTGTTCTTTATTTAGTGGGAATGTGTTCTGAAACGATTCTACTACAGTGTAACTGAGTGCTGTGTTTGTTCGTCTTCATGGACTGAATAAAGACATTTATTTCTGCATTCTGGATATAAACTGTATATGTATATATTCTAAATGTAATGTCTTCTCTACTTTTCCATTAAATAAATATTTACATACGGATCACATTAAACACCTACAGTCACGTTTCTGCCTTGTTTTCTGGATTTAGAGTTCAGAGCGAAAACTATCCGCCTCTTTCTAGCATCTGTTTGTCTCCTAACACAGCGGCATTGCTTTTCCCACCCGTATTCAGACACGTCCCGCCCTCCGTTTGGCTCGTTCTCCCGCCCCCTGCTGCGCTATGATTGGCTAATAGTCGCATCACACAAGCTGTCCTCCAATGGTTCACGCTCTAACGCAGGAGGGGCGGCGCTTTCTAGAAAACGGGTGGGAATAAAAAAAACGTCCACGGTCTCCTCGCCATATTGCAGCGGCGTTAGCTCATCATCCGCCTCATCCAGCGGATTTAAAAGCGTTCAGCGGCTTAGAGACGCCGTGGATGTGAACCGTAAGTCTCCATGCTGAGGCCTTAAATCAGTATAACGTGCATTAATCCGCCGTTTGAGCAGAAAACGGGCTGAGCTCGCCTCGCTAGGTTAAGCTAATGTGGCTAACGGCATTATTAATGGGAGCCAGTTGAAATAGAGCTAAATTGCTGTTTAAATATCATAAAATATAATGTTATAATCTTCAGATATGAGTTATTTAGTCTGTTCCGCTCCAGCCGAGTGTTTATTCGTGTGTCTTGTCAATAAATTAAACTCGCTCTTATTGTTTCTCCATCGTTAGCCGTTAGCTCTTAGACCAGCTTCTCAGGCGAATTCTCCGTTCCACCTTAAATGGTGCAGCAGTTCCGTTACTGCAGGGAGCGCACATTCGCAGCAGCGGCAGTGTTTAAGGTGGAACGGGAGATTGGAGTGAGGAGCCTGATTCAGCTGTCTGGGTGTAAATGTGCAGCTTTGTGACTCGACGCGAGTTTTGTGCTTTAAAACGGTTTCTTTTTAATTTCTGCTGCTTCTCAGTTCAGTCCGGGCTCGAACACGCCTGTGTGTAGATGGTTCCGCCCCCGTTCAGCCTTCTGCTCTGTTTTATTCATCCAGATCAGGCTTTGCATTCAGGCTTTGCATTCAGGCTTTGCATTCAGGCTTTGCATGAGGATAATATGAGGATAATACACTGGAGTAGACCTGTCAGACTGCCCTGGCCTTCTGTGAGTGAGCAGGGCCTCCTTAGTGGAGCTGCTTTGTTTACATTCAGTCACTCAGCAGACTCTCTGTATCCAGAGCAGCTGGACGCAGCTCGGTCTGCTAAAACAGTTAAACATAACCCATCCTTAAGGAGGATCAATTAAGCGCAGTATGCTTTAGTGTTAAAAGGGGGAGTCCACCAGTTTTTCTACAATTTTTGCTTGACTAAATGGTTGAGATGTAAACAAAGTCATTCAGAGTCAGAACTGTTCACAGTGGTGGTGATAGGAACCAGACGTCCACCTCTAAAAGCTCCCTCACAGAAAGTTCCTACATGAAATGGTTATGAATTCACTGCCTGATGACTGAGACACTGGTTTATGATAGTTTAAACTCCATTCATGGTGGAGGGATACATGCAGGGCGCTGTGAGGCAAAATAGTCCCCAAAGAAAACTTATTATTTCAGATTTTCCACTATTTTCCATCATCAACAATCATATAGACTCAGAAGACTTGTGTAGGTTCACTGGTGGTTCTAGATAGTAGTAGTAAATAAAATGTCTATATTTGTGTTGTAGTCATGGCGACCCCTGGTTCCTATCACCACCACTGCAAAGACATCTGAACCATTTCACACCAAACCACTCTGAATCTCTCTGATTACACCTCACTCACTGAATTATGGGGGAATTTGATAATAGGGTGGATTTCCCCTGTAAGTGTGGGAGTCTGGTGAAGAGTTCTGGAGGTCTGTATGAAGCCGAGTGCTGTGTGTCTGTTTTCAGTGGCGGAGCTGGACGGACTCTGAGTGGACGGTGGTGTGGAGTTCTGAGAGGTGCAGTGGAGACTGGCTCTCTCTGATGAAGAGCCTGGAGGTGGTGGTGTCTCTCTGAGCACCTCTCTGATCCGAGAACGCCCGGCTGCGTGGTGTGTGTGTAGTTTGTGTGCAGTATGTCGGTCTCCAGCACCCCCACCAGTAACGATGCCTGTCTGAGCATCGTCCACAGCCTGATGTGCCACCGGCAGGGCGGGGAGAGCGAGTCCTTCTCCAAGCGGGCGATTGAGAGCCTGGTGAAGAAGCTGAAGGAGAAGAAGGATGAGCTGGACTCGCTCATCACCGCGGTAACCACCAATGGAGCGCACCCCAGCAAGTGTGTGACCATCCAACGCACACTCGACGGACGCCTGCAGGTGAGACACACACACGTGGTGGTGGTGATGATGCTGTTTACAGGTCACAGGTCGTAAAAGGGTTTCCTCATGTGATCTACGCTCGTCTGTGGTGTTTGTGTGTGTGTGTTGATGTTTATGTTGTTATTTATAATGATGTTATTGTTTATGTTGTTGTTGTTGTTGTTGTTTACAGGTTGCGGGTCGTAAAGGGTTTCCTCATGTGATCTATGCTCGTCTGTGGCGCTGGCCTGACCTGCACAAGAACGAGCTGAAGCATGTTAAATACTGCCAATATGCCTTTGATCTGAAGTGTGACAGCGTGTGTGTGAACCCGTACCACTACGAGAGGGTGGCGTCTCCGGGTATCGGTCAGTCTGTTTATACTCTCAGGATAAACATAAACACATGTTTACCTTCCGAGCAGTGTAGCACTCCGCACTCAGCTCAGGAGCAGAGAATATGAGCTCTTTAGTAACGTTACTGCTGTTTTCAGTAATAATCCTCACGTTTCTCTCTCGCTCTCGCTCAGATCTGTCTGGACTAACTCTGGGTGCAGGTGAGTAGGACAGTCTGCTTTACTCTCACCTTTCACAGTCAGTAACACTGATTAATCGTCCCGAAATGAACCGACCTGCTCTCCGTGTCTGTGTTTAGGTCCCAGTGCGGGGCTCCTGGTGAAGGAGGAGTTCGAAGGTCAGCCGTCTCACTCCAGCTCTGAAGGTTCTCACAGTATTCAGACCATTCAGCACCAGCCCGCCCCTTCGCAGCCGGCTCCGCCCACCACCACACGCCCCGCCCTTCCGGACACTTTCAGCAGCCCCACTCTCCTGCCCCCGCCTGATGCTGCAAGCTCCGCCTCCAGTTCCGCCTTCCCCACCATGGCTGCCGGACCAGCCAGTAAGAACCTTCGTTAATGTTTAGCGGTTAGCATTAGCATTGTGTTAAGAGTTTACTCAGTTTTTCTCCCCTGAACCCGAATGTAGTTGCTCAGCTAAGACATGTTTGCTTCTGTAGCTCTGGAGCTAACAAGTAAATCGTTATTCACCTGCCTGATGTTAGTGTGTGATGCTGTAGCCATGCACTTGGCATCGGGCCGACCTAACTGGTGGGTCGTCCGGGTTCCCCCATATCTGAGAGCTCCACAGGGGCCGCTCCTACCCACCGACTTTGCAGTCGCCAAACTACTGGAGGTCCACTTGGCATGGGATCGGCCAGAAGCCACCCCTTTCAAACAAGCATGGCCCCTATAACCCCTGGGAACCAGATCAAATGGCACCCCTCTGGAAAGGCCCTGGTGTGAAACTTCAGGGACCCATATATCTGGATGCAGGGCAGGATTAGGTCGAGAAGTAGGCTGCTTGGACCCTCATCAACCAGTGCCGGCGCCAACCCACCAGCTCCACTCTACATGGGCGCACTAGAGCCGACAGAACTTGTTGAATTCCATGGCCGCTCAACAACCATGTTGCGTTGATAAGTAATTACAAAGAGACCTGATTATGTAAACATGTAATAAAGCACAGACACAGTTCAGGCTTTATGATGGCTGTTGCTACTGTTAGTTATGCTAATATGTTTTAGTTTGTGTTCATAAATAACAGTGTGTTATACGGTATCAGAAACCATATGATCAAGTCTGTTAGAGATTATTGATCATCTCCACACGCTTGGAGTCTGATTTGATGATTTAGGCATGCAGTTAGCAGTTAGTGTTCTGCGGTATGTGTGCAGAGAACGTGTGGTTCTGTTGCGTGTAGCTCTTTTCTGTAGCTGAGCTGCTATCATGCTCAGTTATTCTGAGGTTTGCTCTTTTTGTTTTAGCACCACCGATCAGTGAGCCTCTAAATCTAAATGGGTGGAACGTCTTTATCTGTTTTGACGCGGAAAAGAAATTTGACCCGTTATAATTTTTAACCACCGTTATCATTTTTACATACCGTGTTACTGTCGTACCGCCCAGCCCTACTTCACTGCTTAGGACACCAAAATTGTCTCAACTGATTGAAGAAAATGGGAAAATTGTGTAAATGTTGTTGTATTTTTTTAAACTAGTATTATTCCTTTAAAGATGGTGTTGTTGGTTAGAGTTATTAGTCTGATTGCTGTTTGTCTCCTGTAGCAGCGACTGGTCCCTGGCCCAGAGCAAGTGGGTTCACGCACAGCCTGCAGCACCAGAACGGCCATTTACAGCACCATCCGCCGCAGTACTGTGAGTCTAATACAGATATAAACACTCCCACTATCCACATCCATACTGTACGTCTAATTCTCTCTCTCTCTCTCTCTCAGGGCCTGTGCACAATGAGCTGGTCTTTCAGCCCCCCATATCTACCCACCCAGGTGAGTCACACTAATGACTGTACAGTGCTGAGAGGATGTATGTGCAGTGTGTAATGTAAGCCGGCCTTAGAACACATTAGGATTAGCTATTGTTTGAGAAACGCTAACACCCATACATACCTAAACAGTACTTGGTTATAGCTTTGTAACATGAAAGGTCAGTCATTTTAAATAGAGCAACCTCTAAGAGATCCGAGGTAAGACTCTTGGCTCTCGCAAGAACAGTTCAGTAGTTTTCAGTGTTGCAGAATTATTAAGCCCAGGCAGATGCTCTGGTCCTGCAGTGCCCCCTGGCCTGCAAACTTGTGTTTTCTTTGCACAACAAACAACTTGAGAACAAGTTTTTTATTGCTTGACGAGTAAACGCAGTGGTTATTGATTGCCCTCCGTGTTGCCGTCATACTCATATATATGCTTCTCTCTTTCTCAGCCCCAGATTACTGGTGCTCAATAGCGTATTTTGAGATGGACGTGCAGGTAGGCGAGACCTTTAAGGTGCCGTCCTCGTGTCCTGTGGTGACAGTGGATGGTTATGTGGATCCGTCCGGAGGAGACCGGTTCTGCCTGGGTCAGCTGAGCAACGTGCACCGCACCGAGGCCATTGAGAGAGCCAGGCATGCTAACTCATTACGTATCGAACTGCATCATTGTTTTGTAATTGTGTTTAAATGGTACAGCAAAACATCAAAAATCACTGTGATCCTGTAAGGGGTAGAGATGTTCGATCAGCATCATCACTCTTCCTTCTCTCCTTTTTTATCTGATTGCTTTTTTGTGGGACATTTTAGGGGGATAAAACTTACTGTCTCTTTTTGTCTCTCTGTCTGTCTCTCTAGGCTGCATATTGGTAAAGGAGTGCAGCTGGAGTGTAAGGGTGAAGGCGATGTTTGGGTGCGATGCCTTAGTGACCATGCGGTGTTTGTACAGAGTTACTATCTGGACCGGGAAGCTGGTCGAGCTCCGGGCGATGCTGTGCACAAAATCTACCCCAGCGCCTACATCAAGGTAGATCTAACTTTCACAAGTACAGAGATGCTCTCCATGCTCGTAGAGTAATCAGCAAGCTGACTGGCTGTTTCTACTGAAGGGTGGGACTTTCTCTGTAAACAGGCGCCATTTGAGCGTTACGAACTTTCTCGTTCATATTTCAACCAGGGACCGTCTCCTCCTTTATCACGTGTCTGAAAACATGGCTCTGCTCACTCCTAACGACGGCAATGGGTAGTTGCCAGATAGGAGCAGAGTAGGGCACTGACCCCGACGCTGACTCAAGTTTCTACAATAGGTTAACTCTGATCTCAGTGTCTGCATCAGGGTAATTCTAACCCCAGTGTCTGCATGGGGATAACTCTGACCCCAGTGCCTACATCAGGGTAACTCTGACCCCAGTGCGTACATCAGGGTAACTCTGACCCCAGTGCGTACATCAGGGTAACTCTGACCCCAGTGCCTACATCAGGGTAACTCTGACCCCAGTGTGTACATCAGGGTAACTCTGATCCCAGTGCCTACATCAGGCTAACTCTGACCCCAGTGCGTACATCAGGGTAACTCTGACCCCAGTGCGTACATCAGGGTAACTCTGACCCCAGTGCGTACATCAGGGTAACTCTGACCCCAGTGCCTACATCAGGGTAACTCTGACCCCAGTGCCTACATCAGGGTAACTCTGACCCTGAAACCTACATCAGGGTAACTCTGACCCCAGTGCGTACATCAGGGTAACTCTGACCCCAGTGCGTACATCAGGGTAACTCTGACCCCAGTGCCTACATCAGGGTAACTCTGACCCCAGTGCGTACATCAGGCTAACTCTGACCCCAGTGCCTACATCAGGCTAGCTCTGACCCTGAAACCTACATCAGGCTAACTCTGACCCCAGTGCCTACATCAGGGTAACTCTGACCCTGAAACCTACATCAGGGTAACTCTGACCCCAGTGCGTACATCAGGGTAACTCTGACCCCAGTGCCTACATCAGGGTAACTCTGACCCCAGTGCCTACATCAGGCTAACTCTGACCCCAGTGCCTACATCAGGCTAACTCTGACCCCAGTGCCGACATCAGGCTAGCTCTGACCCTGAAACCTACATCAGGGTAACTCTGACCCCAGTGTGTACATCAGGGTAACTCTGACCCCAGTGCTTACATCAGGGTAACTCTGACCCCAGTGCGTACATCAGGGTAACTCTGACCCCAGTGCCTACATCAGGCTAACTCTGACCCCAGTGCCTACATCAGGGTAACTCTGACCCCAGTGCCTACATCAGGCTAGCTCTGACCCCAGTGCCTACATCAGGGTAACTCTGACCCTGAAACCTACATCGGGGTAACTCTGATCCCAGTGCCTACATCAGGGTAACTCTGACCCCAGTGCCTACATCAGGCTAACTCTGACCCCAGTGCGTACATCAGGCTAACTCTGACCCAGTGCCTATATCAGGGTAACTCTGACTCTAAAACCTACATTAGGGTGACTCTGACCCCAGTGCTTACATCAGGGTGACTCTGACCCTAAAACCTACATCAGGGTAACTCTGACTCTAAAACCTACCCTACATCGGGGTGACTCTGACCCCAATGTCTACATTAGGGTAACTCTGACCCTAAAACCTACCTTACATCAGGGTAACTTTGACCCTATTGTTCACATTAGAGTAACTCTGACTCCAGTGTCTATGTCAAGGTAACTAACTCTGATCCCTAACTTCTGTGTGTGTGTGTGTGTTTAGGTGTTTGACCTGAGGCAGTGCCACCGGCAGATGCAGCAGCAGGCAGCTACAGCTCAGGCGGCAGCAGCAGCTCAGGCTGCAGCAGTGGCAGGAAACATCCCAGGACCCGGTTCAGTGGGAGGCATCGCACCAGCCATCAGTGAGTGTAAACACATACATTCATGGTACTCCAGCAATTCTACACATTCTGCACATTTGCAGTGGTGATAACACTGTTCTGATGTATGTTTATGTTTGTCTGTGTGTGTCAGGTCTGTCGGCTGCAGCAGGTATAGGTGTGGATGACCTGCGGCGACTCTGTATTCTGCGTATGAGCTTTGTGAAGGGCTGGGGTCCTGACTATCCTCGTCAAAGCATCAAAGAAACTCCATGCTGGATTGAGATCCACCTGCACCGAGCCCTTCAGCTGTTGGATGAAGTTCTACACACCATGCCCATAGCTGACCCCCAGCCACTAGACTGACCTCCTAAAGCCGAAACCCAGCCACTAGACTGACCTGCACCATGCCCATAGCTGAACCCCAACCACTAGACTGATCTGTCTATAGCTGACCCACAGTTGCTAGCCTGATCTGCCCAACACTGACTCACAGCAGCTAGAAAGACCTACACATAGTAGACTCCTGAGTGACCCTTAACTGACCTACAGCATGCCTATAGCTGGCCTCCACCATGACTGACCCTAACTGACTAACACTCCTGCACTCAACTCCAGCATCTTATGAAATGAGGTCCACTTTTATTTGTTTTCTAGGCCCTTTATAATTCAGGCTAGTGGGTCAGTATTTCACACAAAAATGGTTCTAAAAGGAATTTCAGCGAGAAATATCTTAGCACTGAATCTCTAAAACAGTCGTTCAAGACGTTGTGCCAAATTGTAACGTTCGACTTAGCATCTTAGCTTTGGTGAGCAGGTGTAAGCCTTAAGTACGAGATATGTGGTGAATAGCCTACGCTAATTAGCGTTTGTCTTGCGCAGTGTAACCATGTGATGTGTGAGGTAAAGGGCCCAGGAGTGCAAACAAGTGGAGTTTCCATTTAACCTCATGCTAAAACCCCACTACTGCACACACACCCACCTGACCCCCCGACCGAATGAACATTCACTCATCACTGTGATCTAGGGTGCAGCCCATCAGTACAGAAACAAAAACCTCGTCCACGCTTAAGAGTCACACAGGAGGACTCGACGGACACTCAAGCGGGATTAGTGTTTGTTGACCCAGAGAGAAACAGTATTCATTAATGAGCTCTGAATTGAAGTGAAATTGTTGTGAATGGAGCTCAAAGACTTCTATAGACTTGAACAGGACTCTGAACACTAACAGCCACCTGGAACACTAGCCGGACATCTTGAAGCCTGCAGGGGGCGCACAGGAGCTGCTTTGAAGTTCGTCAGGCAGGTATAGACAATGAATTAAGGATTAGGAGTTTGTGTTTTTAGACATCAGATTATGTATTTTCTAAAGTAGATCATGAGTTTATATCCAGCAGATGGATAGTTAACCAACCACATGTGATGTAACGGTTCTGCTCCGTACATTGCCCCGCTCTTCTTCTTTGATGGACAGAATCTTCCCCAAAACTCAGATTGTATCTGGCCCAGACGAGGCTCGGGCTGCTTCAGATTTTCAACATATTTTTTTGTTAAAAGTATCACAGTATGCATTACTGTTGCATTTATAGGGAGGTTTGCAGTAGCTAAACATGTTAGAGACAACACTGTACCGTGTTGGAAATAAATGTGTTCAAGTGTAAATAAACGTGTTGGAAATGCTGTACGCTTTTATTATCAACACACGAGTTCGTACCGCTGAGAATCTGTAGGAATTTAGGTGAAGGTAAGTGACCGATGTGTCGAGGTTTGTTCCCTTTAGCTCACAAGTAGCTCGTTAATCCCCAATCAGTGTAATGGACTTTGTTTATCTGTGTGGGGATTCCTCACCTTAATGTTAGCAGGATGCAGTTTAGCTAATATTAATGTGCCATTCTGTGTTCAAAGTCACTTAAATGTCTTTAAAGCTAGTTTGCTGTCTGCTAGGTTAGTAATGCTAACCTTAAATGGTTCGTGCTGCGTTCAGCTGAGGCTTAACTTGAAATTTTCCACCTCCGAATAGGAAAAATAAAGCGTCCCCTCAGCTGCTCAGTCAAACTAGCATGGCTGCTCCTGCTGTCGACAGTAATAAAGAAGCAGTTTTGTACTTTTTATGAGATTAAATTTGAATCTGTCAGCACACAGTCGCAGTAGTTAGATGTGTCTGTAATGCTGCCCGTAAAGGTCTGTTCTGAGAAGCTGGATTTATCACGAACGCAAAAGTTATCACTAATGTTAGCGGGCTAGCTTGTTGCTAGCTGCACTTGCCTTCACGGCGGCGTCCCATCATAGAGACCAGTAGAAGTTCCTGGTGGTGTCGGTGGTCACTGGTGGTGTTCTGTGTTTTCCTGATGGGATGATCTCTCAGTGTAGAGGACTCTAATGGTTTAACAGGTGCTCTGATTCCAGATAGAGTTTCAGTAACAGGGCATTCAGAGTGACCTCGCCACTCAGCATCAACACTTCAATTCAAAACGAGGAAAAAACTTCATATCCAGTTAAATATGTGACTTGAGGTTCCAGCTGCTTCACTGGGGTGAACAGTAAGATTCTTATGATTGTTTGAGGGTAAAGTCTGTGTTAACAGGACTCAATGCTTTATGTTCTTTATGTTTACAAACTTTCATCTGTGTGTAAAATGTCTTCTACCTCCAACTTCCACACATCTTTCACTGTAAAGTAAGTGGGACACAAAAGCCCAACAGAGGAATCGGCAATACCAAAGCGTAGATGCACCACAACGTGATAATATCAGAATAACTCGCTGAATAAAGTCTTCCACGTTTTACTAGTGAACATAAGTGAATGTGTGATGATCACGTGTGACGTTGTGCTCTTAAACTGCACACGTCATCACGGGTTTTATGTAGAAATCGTGTTTTACATGGCGGGAATGAGTGAAAACAGAACGGCTCAGGTTAAGACAGCTGGGCTGTTTCGCTTTAATCTCTGCTCCACAGTCCTAAACAAACGGGTCAGGCTTCCTATTCTCTTTCTCGAATATCCCGTTCCACCTTAAATGCCTCAGGCGCCGGAATGTAACTGCATCACCATTTAAGGTGGAACGGAGAATTCGAATGAAACGCCGTATCCAAGCGACGCGGTATCTAGGCAACCAAACGACGCGCTGACGGGAGTTCGCCTAGAGAAGTGTGACGCTGCTGTTCTGTTAATGATTAATAAATAAATAAAATACACGGTAATTACAGTGAGGATGTACAGCAGGGCTCCCAGAGTGACGGAGCTGAGCTCGGGAGGATCAACCAGCAGCGCCGTGGGGCCTGGAGCTTATCACACACACAGCGTAAACAACAACAACAACAACCGAGCACAGGGTAAGATAAACAACAACAACAACAACAGAGCACAGGGTAAGATAAACAACAACAACAACAGAGCACAGGGTAGGATAAACAACAACAACAACATAGCACAGGGTAAGATCAACAACAATAACAGAGCACAGGGTAAGATAAACAACAATAACAACCGAGCACAGGGTAAGATAAACAACAATAACAACCGAGCACAGGGTAAGATAAACAACAATAACAACAGAACACAGGGTAAGATCAACAGCAACAACAGAGCAGAGGGTAAGATAAACAACAATAACAACAGAGCACAGGGTAAGATCAACAACAGTAACAACAGAGCAGAGGGTAAGATAAACAACAATAACAACAGAGCACAGGGTAAGATCAACAACAGTAACAACAGAGCACAGGGTAAGATAAACAACAACAACAGTAACAACAGAGCACAGGGTAAGATCAACAACAAAAACAGAGCACAGGGTAAGATCAACAGCAACAACCGAGCACAGGGTAAGATAAACAACAATAACAACAGAGCACAGGGTAAGATAAACAACAACAACAACTGAGCACAGGGTAAGATCAACAACAACAACAGAGCACAGGGTAAGATCAACAGCAACAACAGAGCACAGGGTAAGATAAACAACAATAACAACATAGCACAGGGTAAGATAAACAACAACAACAACTGAGCACAGGGTAAGATCAACAGCAACAACAGAGCACAGGGTAAGATAAACAACAATAACAACCGAGCACAGGGTAAGATAAACAACAACAACAGAACACAGGGTAAGATCAACAACAACAACAGAGCACAGGGTAAGATAAACAACAATAACAACAGAGCACAGGGTAAGATAAACAACAACTGAGCACAGGATAAGATAAACAACAATAACAACAGAGCACAGGGTAAGATAAACAACAACAACAACTGAGCACAGGATAAGATAAACAACAATAACAACAGAGCACAGGGTAAGATAAACAACAATAACAACAGAGCACAGGGTAAGATAAACAACAACAACAGAGCACAGGGTAAGATAAACAACAACAACAGAGCACAGAGTAAGATCAACAACAACAACAACCGAGCACAGGGTAAGATAAACAACAACAACAGAGCACAGGGTAAGATCAACAACAACAACAACCGAGCACAGGGTAAGATAAACAACAACAACAGAGCACAGGGTAAGATCAACAACAATAACAACCGAGCACAGGGTAAGATAAACAACAACAACAGAACACAGGGTAAGATCAACAACAGTAACAACAGAGCACAGGGTAAGATAAACAACAACAACAACAACAACAGAGCACAGGATAAGATCAACAACAGTAACAACAGAGCACAGGGTAAGATCAACAACAACAACAACAGAGCACAGGGTAAGATCAACAACAACAACAACAACAGAGCACAGGGTAAGATAAACAACAATAACAACAACAACAGAGCACAGGGTAAGATAAACAACAGTAACAACAGAGCACAGGGTAAGATCAACAACGACAACAACAACCGAGCACAGGGTAAGACCAACAACAACAACAGAGCACAGGATAAGATAAACAACAATAACAACAGAGCACAGGGTAAGATAAACAACAATAACAATAGAGCACAGGGTAAGATAAACAACAACAACAACCGAGCACAGGGTAAGATAAACAACAACAACAACTGAGCACAGGGTAAGATCAACAACAACAGCAGAGCACAGGGTAAGATCAACAGCAACAACAGAGCACAGGGTAAGATAAACAACAATAACAACATAGCACAGGGTAAGATAAACAACAATAACAACCGAGCACAGGGTAAGATAAACAACAACAACAGAACACAGGGTAAGATCAACAACAACAACAGAGCACAGGGTAAGATAAACAACAATAACAACAGAGCACAGAGTAAGATCAACAACAACAACAACCGAGCACAGGGTAAGATAAACAACAACAACAGAGCACAGGGTAAGATCAACAACAGTAACAACAGAGCACAGGGTAAGATAAACAACAACAACAGCACAGGGTAAGATCAACAACAACAACAACAGAGCACAGGGTAAGATCAACAACAACAACAGAGCACAGGGTAAGATCAACAACAACAACAACAACAGAGCACAGGGTAAGATAAACAACAATAACAACAACAACAGAGCACAGAGTAAGATAAACAACAGTAACAACAGAGCACAGGGTAAGATCAACAACGACAACAACAACCGAGCACAGGGTAAGACCAACAACAACAACAGAGCACAGGGTAAGATAAACAACAATAACAACAGAGCACAGGGTAAGATAAACAACAATAACAATAGAGCACAGGGTAAGATAAACAACAACAACAACCGAGCACAGGGTAAGATAAACAACAGTAACAACAGAGCACAGGGTAAGATAAACAACAACAACAGTAACAACAGAGCACAGGGTAAGATCAACAACAAAAACAGAGCACAGGGTAAGATCAACAGCAACAACCGAGCACAGGGTAAGATAAACAACAATAACAACAGAGCACAGGGTAAGATAAACAACAACAACAACTGAGCACAGGGTAAGATCAACAACAACAACAGAGCACAGGGTAAGATCAACAGCAACAACAGAGCACAGGGTAAGATAAACAACAATAACAACATAGCACAGGGTAAGATAAACAACAATAACAACCGAGCACAGGGTAAGATAAACAACAACAACAGAACACAGGGTAAGATCAACAACAACAACAGAGCACAGGGTAAGATAAACAACAATAACAACAGAGCACAGGGTAAGATAAACAACAACTGAGCACAGGATAAGATAAACAACAATAACAACAGAGCACAGGGTAAGATAAACAACAATAACAACAGAGCACAGGGTAAGATAAACAACAACAACAGAGCACAGAGTAAGATCAACAACAACAACAACCGAGCACAGGGTAAGATAAACAACAACAACAGAGCACAGGGTAAGATCAACAACAACAACAACCGAGCACAGGGTAAGATCAACAACAACAACAGAGCACAGGGTAAGATCAACAACAATAACAACCGAGCACAGGGTAAGATAAACAACAACAACAGAACACAGGGTAAGATCAACAACAGTAACAACAAAGCACAGGGTAAGATAAACAACAACAACAACAACAACAACAGAGCACAGGATAAGATCAACAACAGTAACAACAGAGCACAGGGTAAGATCAACAACAACAACAACAGAGCACAGGGTAAGATCAACAACAACAACAACAACAATAGAGCACAGGGTAAGATAAACAACAACAACAACCGAGCACAGGGTAAGATAAACAACAATAACAACAGAGCACAGGGTA